TGTCATCTTAGGAAAAAATGTAATCATGTCAACCACCTCAAAATTCCTGATTATGGGAAGTGTTACTTTTGATGTTGGAGGTTTTAGTGGACCAGCGAGCAGGGCCAGCTATTGGCTGCCCAGGAACGGTTGTTGGGCTCTACATAAATCCGATTTGCTAACGCAGGAATGGATGTTACTTGGTTGAGAAATGCCTTGTGACTGTCCACACTTTTCCTTCCATGTATACTTTCTGTGCAAGCTCAGAGTCAGTCCTGCAGTAAATCGCTTGTAAATCACTCAGTCAGCAAGCTTTCAGAGCTGGAAGGGACCTATCTGATCCTTGTGTGCTGTTCCACGTGACTTTAGAGATTTAGTGGCCACCCCGACAGAGAGAGGGTGGGGGTACCTCTGGGGCACCTGGTGCCTGAGCAGCAGGCTCTCGTAGGCTGATGGTACCAGCCTTTGGCTTGTGGTACTGGCAGCCTTTTCCCCCGAAATTGCTTCAAGACCTTTTGTCCTTTTGATGTTTCTTCCAAGTCCTGTATATTTCCACGACAGACTTATTTTTTACAGAGAAATATGTACCGCCGCCCATGGCAAAGGTACACATTTATTACAGGACCGTGTTGATAAAACTGCAGGCAGCCAGGTCTTGAACACGGCACCTTTTGCATCTCCCTGGGCCAAGTGTTACTGGAAACACAGTGGATTTTTATGCTGTTCGGAGAGGGTAATTGGGTTTTGAGTGAAAAGTGGTATGTACATGCAGGACAGGCAGGGTCCAATTCATTGACCTCCAGGGCTCTCTGCCTACCAGCGAACAGGCATGACAAATTGCAACATGTGGCTATAGCAGCTATGATGGCCTCTTGTGTGCTCCCAGTTCCTGGGATAACCACTGTCTTTTGGGAGCTAAAAATATCTTTATTTTGAAACTCCTTTAACCTGTTCAGTCTGGAGGTTCGCGAGGCACCTTGGGAAAGACCAAGAACAGTGGTCGAGATGGTGGTATGGGGACTGAGGTCTAGGATGCAGGCGCTGGTATCTGAGAGCTCGGGTGCCAGAGCCACACTTGGAACCCGCTGCAAGGACCCTGTCCTTGAGCTACCTCAGTGATGGGGCCCTCTCTCTACACAGTTGTGTGCAGGAACTGAAGGAGGACTTGCTTGCAAGTTTCCTCGGTGAGAAGAAATGGACTTAAATCATAAAGCCTCTGAAATCTGTGCCCTCCCTTTGGCTCACTTCTCAGATATTACGGCTGCCCATGTGCACTGTGACCGGGTCCCCCGAACAGGTGATCTCTCCTGCATAAGGACTATGAGTTCTGAATGCTTTTCTACCAAAGAAACCTCTGTTCTTCATGAAGCATTTGGCTTTTGAGGATTAAATCATAGGGCTGACCGGAAACTGAGAAGCCACCTAGCTGAATTCCTCCTTGATGTCCTTTCTCTTTTGACAAAAGGGAACCCTCCAATAGGGAAGTCATGTATCAACCATTGCCAGCCATCAGGGCAGTCTTGGAGAGATGCGAGTCTCAAGGAGCCAGACCAGTATCCTTTTGTCATTGTAGGTTACTCTTTGGTATTCAGACAGTATGACGGAAGCCCCCTTGGTGGCTGTCCTGGGTTAACTACCGTGTGGTTCCCCCGTGACACAACTGATGCCCACACAGGCCATCGCTCCTGCTGAACAGGCTTCCTGTAGGTGACTTCCTGTAGGGTCGCCTACAAACCCTTTATTCTTATTCTGCTGCTGAATGCTCACCACCAAGAGGATCTTGTGTTTGGATCTGTTTATGTCATTTGTGCCTATCACTGAAATGATATCATTTATTTGAATGTTGCATAAATCAATGTAATAGGACATAAACCAACAACGTAGAACTTAGGCAAGAGAGAATTATTTCTGTGAGTTAGGTGCTTTGAACAGAGTAGGGTGTGACCAGATACCAAGTGTGAAAAAGGTACAGGCAGTCAGGATCTAGAAGTGTTGTGAAATCAGATTCCCCCCGCAAGGTGGTTCACGGAAAATCCCTTGGAACTTGAGTGGGGTGCCCATATTCATAGAAAACATCTGGGTTGCCCTTCAAAAGCCTGGCATAACTTTAAATCAGCTAATTGTTAGATCTCAATCTATATGAGTCAGATTAAATTAATAGGTTAAGTGTGTGATGTCCCTTTTGACTGGCTTTTCAGTGAGTTGACTGGACGTGAGCTCTCACCTGACTTATCATCCATGAAGCTCAGAAAACTGGGGTCCAGGGTCAATAACCAGTGTACCGAGTGTTACATTTTTTGTTGACCTGCAACCTTGTGTGAGTTAGTAACAGTTAAATTTTAGTGATTTCTAATGTAAGTGACTAAAAATTGGGAACAGAGCTTGATGAGCTGTGTGTGTTCAACTTGGTAGTGATACTGAGATCCTTATTAATGGCTGGAAGTCTAGAGGCAGCGGGAGTCCAGCTGAGATGTTGTTCTTAAGCCCTTCTAGAATAACTTCTGTTTGCAGCACAAGTTTGGGGGTTGGGGAATTGGTGTTGCCATCACTCTGACAGGAGAGATTTTAAAATGCTTTCCTGAACAAGAGATCTCACATTCCAGTTTTTCTAGTACCACCTCTCCAGGGATGTTTGCCTCATTTAGAGATGGGGCTGTGTGTGGGGGGTGTGCCTGGCTCTGGAGGGTCCTCTGGGGCAGCTCCTGAAGATGCACACCAGCACTCCAGCAATCCCTGCAGTCGCAGATCTGACGACAAGGTTACTGTGAGGGGACGTGCATTGTCCTTGTTTTGCAGGAAGTAACCAAAATGATCACTGTGGCCCAGTCCCTCTCACTGGTGAGTCTTTGCTCAATTTGGGCAATTTCCTGTGGTTCTGAGACATTCACGGATCTTTCAGAAAGTGGGCCAGGAGCTGGTGTACTGGGGTTCATGCAGAATGTTGGTTGAGCCAATTCTAAATTGCAAGCACTCAGAGCTAATTCCTGCAAAAGACAAATTTCTGTCCTTCACGGGCTTGTTAAATCACTTCTAATATCACTTTTAATGTAAGTTACTTCTGGATTTAGAGCTAAATTTACTTAAATTACTTCAGTTACACTGGAGAGTGCCCTAATAAATTCTTTTTTCAATCACCCACAAAATGTTAAATGGGTTTGTGCTCATCAAGCTCACTGTGAACCTTCTCTGAAAATCTTGGTGCACTTCTGCTCTGTTGCATTAAAAGGCTGGGTGAACCACGGCTCCCAGAGTAACAGAAGCTAAATAAATAGTGAGGGTATATGCCAGGCCCTTTACAGTCTTCACTTCTTTTCCTAATGACTTATATTAGTGAAGGGTTATCTTGAGTCAGAGTTACATCGCCTCACTGTTGATTCTTAGTTCTCTTCCACAATATGAATTTAGTGAAAATAATTCCTACTAAGCAACTTCTCTGATAAGTAGATGTCTCTGAGGAGGTGATTTGCGATTTGTGGGAATTCTTGACAAAACTTGCCTGGGCGCTTGCTTTTCACCTCTTCTTTGTTAATGGTGGGAGGATAATCCAGCAGTTCGGTATGCTGGGCCGGGGCTCCTGCCGGGGTCCAGGCTGCCTGCGTACTACCAGGAGGCGGTAGCAGCTGGCATGTGCCTTTTACAGACCTTAACCTGGTGATGGTTCCAGCAGGGCGGGCTTTGTCAGTCTCAGAGCGATCAACAATTTGGACGGGACGAATTCCTGTGGTGGGGCTGTCCTGTGCTTTACAGGATGTTAGCAGCACCTCTGGCCTCTACCTACTAGATGCCAGTGGCACCCCCCTAGTTGTGACAGCTAAAAACGTCTCCCTCCAGACCTTGTCAGATGTCCCCTGGAGGCTAAATTGCCCTTTGTTGAGAACTTCCACAGTAAGGAATGTGCTAGTGTGACACCTGGTGCTCATGTCTGCCTTGCCCCAGAAGATGTCACCAAGTGACCCAACTCTGCTTTTAAACAGTCTAAGTCCCATCCTGGATGTTCTGCTGGGCTGGAGATGTGTGATGAGCCCAAGAATGTGTCAAGCTTTTTGCTACATTGAAGACATTTACACCCTCTCCCTGTCTCTACCTTGTTGATCAGAGAAAGGGGACTTTGAAGATCTTTTTAGAAGGTGTATTTTGGTGGGCATGGGTCGGGGGAGAGGAGGGATGGGAGGTCTTTCATACATTTCTAGATATAGAACTATGCAGTGAGAATTGTTTTGGTAATTGGGTAAGTCAACTGTAATTGTCCTTCAGCCTTAGGTTTTAAGCAGCGAACTAAATCATAGCATCTCTTAACTGCTCTCGTGTGGTTTTGTGAAAATTATATTTACCAAAAGAAAACAGGCAGTCACCTCCCTGAAAGTTGTGACAATATCTGAGAATCCTAAATTTCCACAAGAAGCCCAACGTGGTTTTTCCCTATTGAAAGTTTGTGCTGAATTCTTGTTGATGCAAGCAATCTAAACAAACTTTAAATTAAAACAAAACAAAACAAAACAAAACAAAAAAACGTGATGAACAACAGCTGTAGGGATTCTAGACTGGGGATTATGTCCCAAGGGATGCCAGTGCCACAATCTTTGTGAGTTCCTAAGGAAATAAATTGCACGTTTGGTCCAAGCAGCCTGGGTTCTTCCGTGGTATTCCTAGTGCATCCAGTGTGGTTTGCAGTCTTCGATCTATACCATCTGAAGGACTTAGCTTTCATAGCTTTGCTAGAACACACAGTACAGTGCTCATGGCTATCAATTCTGAGAAAACAAGCCATCAAACTTATACCGGTTTTTGAAACCACTAAGATGCATTTGCAAGATAAATGAGTTCAAGCTCTCCCTCATCCTGGGATCATACACCTGGGGTTGAGTATTTAGGAGTAGCTTAGAATTATGGTCAAGTAAAGCCCTTTACTTTGTGTCTGATATAATCATCCCAGCATGGCCCCCAATGATTCTTGCATCCGTTGGGTAAACATCATTTGTCACTCATAATAGAAAAGTGGGAGGAGGAGAACGTTAACATACCTATAGATAATACATGCACTGTTCCTGCATGTGTCACAATTAGCTGTGTCTTGCCCAGTCCGATATGAAAGCCTACAAGATAAGAACAGGAGAGCATTACAAGTGGTGGCTGGTGGTCGCTGGCTGTTATAGAGCAGACACCTCACATCAGATGCTTTCCCAATGCCATTGCTTGTCATGGTGATGGAAACTGATTAATGTGTGTTTCCCATTTTGCTCCTGTCTGCATTTATCATACAAAACCAATGCAACGTCTACAGCTAAGATGATATTTAAAATAAATCCAGAATGTGAACATAAGCTACTGGATGAAATAGATAATCTGATTTTGCTAAAAGAGAACTTGGGATGTTTCAGTGAAGCTCTATGTTTATGGTATTTTGAAGACACTTTGGGGGAAGACCAATGCCAGATATGTTAACTCCATGGCTTAACTTTGCTCCACAACCTCTCACTGCAGGTGAGAGTACATGTCTGCAAACTTCAGTTCATGGGCTGAATCCTATCCCTCATTCTGACTTTGTCCCCCAAGAATGGATTTTACATTTTAAATGGTTGGGGAAAAAGGGAGAAAGGATAATAATATTTGGAAACTGTGTGCGTTAATGAAATTTAAATTACAGCGTCCTTAAATATTGTGAGAGTAAAAAAATAGTGAACATTTTTTTCATAAATATCTACACATGGTATCTTCCATTTTTGCTTCTTGGTTTCCAGATTCCAGATATTTATTCTCTGACTCTAGAAAGAAAACAATTTGCTCAGCCTTGTGGCAGAGAATCCTAGTGCTGCTGTCATGCCTTCCACTGACCTTGTCTGGCTCTATTATCTGTGAGATCTATCAGTCCTATGAGGCCACACAGGTTTGCTTTTTGGGGGAAGGGGGTGGCAAGGTTACTTTCTTCCTCCTTAAAAAATAAACTTAGAGTATTTTTTGGAGCATACTGTGGAAGGTTGAGTACCCTAAAACGTTTGACTATTTCTTGGCCCTCTTGCCTCAAGAAATTAGCATTAGAGGTGGTTTTACGCTCTTTCTTCTAACGACTTCAGCTGACCTTTCTTCCCTGATATTTTTAACAGCCAGGCATAGTTTTTCCGAATATTACTTTGTACCCAGGGGCAAACATGATAACCACAGTCTGTTAAATTTGTGGCAGAAGAAAAGCTTCCATCTGAATTGGCTTATGTACACTGAGGGGATAAATTTACATTTACATAGAATCACTCAACATAGTAATAGTGTGCACAGAAGGTTTTCCGTCAACATCAATAGTCAGTATTTTTATCACCTTCACTGTGTAAACTTTTCTGGTATGCATCATGGATTTCGAATTGAAAATAACTTTTGTTTTCCTCATTATATTTTGTTACATAAACATTTGACAAAAAGATTTCCCACTCAATGTCATGTTGTCTCAGTGAGCTTTGGTAAACTCAGGACTTGACCTTTGAATTCTGTGCATTTTACTTAATCTAGTGACCATATCCTGCCTTAAGGTGCTGCTGATCGTCACCTGTGACCTTAGTGTGTTTGGGCGAGGATTGGAATCGTGGTGTGGCGGCTTGTGTGTTGATCTTTGTCCACTATCACTTTCTGCATTGGGCTCCTTCGGAAATGCACGTCTCGCATTTTACTCTCCCCTTGGCTTAGTCAGTAGAGAGGAACAGCCAAGAGCCTGTGCATCACAACCTCCCCTTTCTCTTCACTGGACATGGCCACTTTTTTCCTTAGACTTTTCCTCTTGTTGACAGACCCCCAAGAGTACATTGCTCATGTACCTTCCCACCTGGCTCCAGATTTGTCAGACCCATTCCGGGGTTCCCCTGTGTCATGACATCGACCATTTTCCATTCTTCCATGCCTTACATTTGTACAAAGGGAATTTCTCCATTTGGCATATTCTCCCAAAGCTTGCCCAAAGCTCCTTTCTGACTGAGGTCATTTTTGTACAATATTGTGCACAACATGTGAGCCCGTGTCTTAGCAGTGACTTGGCTGGTGCAAAACATGTTGTCACACTGTTAGGTTGGGTTGCAGATGAGGTAGTGTTTTGCTTTTGTGTTGCATGAGCATGTGCTAACCACCTACCAGGACAGCTGTTTATAGGTGCTAGTCACCTTCCAAAGTTGAGGCTTTTAAAAGAAAGCAGGTAGCATCAGAGACATTTCTTAGCCCTTATCTGAGGGTCACTCTTTCTGGGGTCTGAGGAGAATATGAATTTCAAACTTGTAGAACCTTCCTGTCTTAGACCTCAGGACAGAGCTCTATTAAGTCTCATCAACACCAACACTCCTTACTTGCCCAATATCCTAGAGTTCCCAAGTGTCTCACATTAGAGCCTTGAGCCTTCAAATTAATTATGGTATCCTCATTTTAAAGAGAAGAATACAGTAACATTTCAGGGCCAGGATCTCATTATTCTTAGACCCCAGGCTTCTGATTCTCTGTGATGCCTGCCTTCTACCTTGGGATTGGTATTCGGCACTATGTATAATTGGCAGCTTGGGCTAGTCAATGAATCCAGCAATGACAGGACAAGGGCTTCAGGTACCAGAAATGCACAAGAGGACTTTCTTACAGGACCTTGGCATTTTTCAGTTAGAAATTGCTTTTTTAAAGCATTTTCTGAAAAGACTCTATTCTTATCCCCATCTAAACACACACACACACACACACACACACACTTTTTTTTTAACACTATTACAGTCAGTAAGTTAATAGCTATTAAGTGCCTATTAAGTGTTAGACATTATTTGGCTACCGAGGAGACATTTTTGAATAAGACACAGTCTTTGTCCTCACAGAGCTTGCAGTAGAGTGGCAGAGGCAGACAAGCAACACATAAACACATGGATGGATGCACTGGATGAATGGGATGGGCAGATGGATGAATTTTGATAACATTGTGTTAAGGAAGGGTTGTGGAGAGGTGGCTTTAGCTAGCAGACTGAGGACCTGGATTCTGAAGCATGACCTTGATGATAATAAAAAAAGAAGTGAGTCATCTGAAGATGCAGGGTGGAGTGGTGCAAGCAGGAGGACCATCACATGTGAACATCTTGCAATGGGAATGATGTTGGCATATTTGCATGACAGAAAAAAAAGGCCAGCATGGCTAGAACAGATGTTGCATAATGGAGTTGCCAGAGATGAGATGAGATGATGTAAAATACGAAACTCTTTGGATATTATTTTAAATTTAATAAATTTAATCTGGAAAGCCATTCCAGAGTTTTTCTTACACTTGGATGAAAGAGTGGCACAGAAATCACTTCTTGACTTAACTCTCCCCCATGGCTCCAACATCACTTTCATTCAGTTCCCTTTCTCTTGCTTCTTTTATTTGCAACTCAACCTAATTCACTTACTCAATCCTGAGATATAGTATGGTTTGATGTTTATTGATAAGAGGCAAATGAGTCATCATACCTACTTTATATGGAGACATATTTGTGGTCACTGGTTTTTAGCTAATTTAAAAGAAAAACATGTGGTCAGTCGTATTTCTACAGTGTCTGGGAAGTTTTAATTTCTCATTGCCATGAACTTTTCTTAGAGACCCCTCAGTATGTTTCTAAGATTTTTTTTAAAAAGATCTTTCTTTTGTTTAAAGGATCCAAGAGTTTGGTGTCCATAAAGATGGCTTATAGAAATAGAGGTCAATGAGAAATTAATTTGCAGATAAAATTTAAAATGTTGCCCTTGGGTCATGTGGTTAAGTCACAGGCTGCCTCCAGCAGCTAACATCAATCAAGGTATACCTGCTAAAGTTTTATTAAGCATGAGGGTGTTTTCAGTAGAGGGCTTAAACTATGTAATCCATTGTGCTTATTGCTTTGATAATCCATCTAATTGTCCTTGGAGCTTTCAAGCTGTAGGGTTTGGCTTCACTGATAATTTTATGGTCACATTAATAATTGTGTTACAGCATCTGAATGAATGTGTTCTCTAAATATAGATGAAACAGATAAATTCTTTCTATAGGACAGGGAACACAAAGTGCTTATGGAATTTCCCTAATTTTTCCTTCTCACTTGGAAACAAGTCATAAAACCAATACTTGGAATGATTATCTTTCTAGATAGCCATTGCTGTGAAGAAGAGCAATCCAAAAACGTTGGGCTGCTGGAGCAGAGACTTCTCCAGTGACAGTAGGGCTAGAGATCTTTTGTGATTATAAGTTTGGAGAAGAGAGAGTTTACGTTATTGATGTAAAAGCTACGAGGAAGAATATCTTGACCAAAAATTGTGTTTTCTGTCTTGCAAGTTAATTTCTCTTTTTGTAAAGCTCTCTTTCCTTTTGAGGAGTTACACCGTATATAGGTTTATAATTCTATGCCTGTCACAATGCCCGGAACACTGAGTATTTGGTTAATATTAACGTGACCAAATAATAGAATCATTCTTTTGGTTCTCATATTGAAGTTCAGTAATAGACAAATCTAATGAAAAAATTCCAACCAAGTGCAAAAAGCAACCAAAAAGCATACATGTGAAAAGCTCTGGTCCCCACTTTTTTCCCAGTAGGAACTCCTTTGGACTCCAATAATTAGCATGCTCATTGTAAATAGTATTTTTAATACACTTATATTTGTAGCACTCACTATTGTCCATTGCAATTAGTTGCCATTTGTCAGTATTTTCTGTTATTAACCTGGAAAGAACACAGCAGCAGCACCAAGGACAACGCCAAGCACCAAGCTGTCTTGGGTACTTGTTTTTCTCTCTTCTCTTCCCTTGATTCTCTTGCCTCCATCCCTCCAGAGCATAGTTCTAACCAAGGAATGAATTCCAGAACCTGGAACCCCTCCTCATTTGATACCTCTTTGACACTTATGGTCAGGGAGGGCTTTGCTGAAACCTAAAGGAGACTAGACATGAGTCATGAAATGAGTAGTGATGTAAAGAGCATGGACATGGAGGAGGACTTGCTCCAGATTTGCTAAAGCAGAGGGATGAGGACAAGTTTATTTTAAAATGTAGTTTTGGTGGAGTCCAGGTGTAGAGCCATTTCTACTTCTGCTTTGTGGATTTCTTCACAAGACCTTGCTCTACTTTCAAGAAAGCAAGA